TCCAGACCAGAAAAAGGGCGTCGCGCTCAATCTGAGCTGTGCGATTGCTACTGGCTGATCTTCTTGTCCATCTGTCATGATTAGCAGCCGCGCAAATTACTCCGTGATTAAGCAGCACGCAGCATCAGGCAGCCATCCGCTGTCCTCCTCCGCTTGCTGCCACTGCCATTGTGACTGCCACTTGTCTTTTGACACCATCATTTCTACTCCCTTTGGGAGACAAATCCCATTGTCTTTGCGGTGCACTACACTCCACCAAAGAGTTTCAGTTCATTGACAATTTAGGTATAAAGAAAATAGTACATTTTATCAAAATTAAGCTAAACGAACTCTGGTCAAGTTACATATTGCAAGCTCACTTAAACTTGAAGTTAAGGCAATTGTTGGTAATTAGTTAAAAGCTTAAAAAGCCATTGAGAATCTACTCCTTTGAACTCTTGAACATAACTTTTTCATAGTGTAATCCAACCGTGCAAATCTAATAAAAGAAAAAAAAAACCAATCAAATTTTGCGAAACCCATCATCTCCATCGATGGGCTTAGATTGTAAAACCTTAACCAGTTTGCATTGACATCATTTGGTCTTTCTCATATTTTTTTCTTGTAGAACAAGACATAGAGGGTCCGGGTTATGAAAAAGCTGCAGCCCTGAAACATCATAGACTTGATAGGCTGGTAGCGATGTAGAAAAAATTATAGTCATAAGGTGTCCATGACGCTTCCTTTTATTTATTTTTTTGTTTCCCTATGGTTATTTTTTAAAATTTTGTTCCTTCTATTTTTTGGCCTATTTCCGAGCACTGACCATGTAACCTAAGCACTCATTTAAGCTATGAAAATTCAAGAATACCCTTCCTGTTAAGGATTGTCCTTAAATATGAAGACATGAGAAAGGGTCCCAGTCGTCACAATTTGTACAGCGCAAAAGCCTAAAGAGGGGACAGTATCGTAAATTAGAACGAAGAGTGTCGAAGGACTGATATGGACTGAAATGTCAGGGTGCTAAGCTCTGCTAGGCTGGCCGCTTGGAGCCATCGAGTTCACATTTTGCCTTTACGTATAAAAGGATAATGCCTTTGCTTTCTTTGATGGGTGGTACAGAACTTTTTTTGCTTTAAATGGCTTCCTTTGTAAATACTAGTAGTTGTTAGAGTATATGGTAAATGATGAAATTTACAAATGCTTGAACATTTGAAAGCTTTAGGGAGAAGGGTTGTATTATCTCATCAACTAATAATTACAAATGAAAACAATAAATAAAAGAGAGCAATAAAATAAGACATGTGATGTATGCTCTGAAACCATACAAAACACCCATCATAAGCATGGAGTTAAATGAGATTGTTTGGTCATAAATTGCATTCCCAACAAACTAGAAGTAGTCAGTCATGAAGATTTATGGTTAACACATATTAGCTGTTGGAAGGATATCAGCTTCAAATACAGAAATAGATCCCTTTCCTTGTTTTCTTCTTTCTTATTGACGAAACGGATGATATAGTTCTATAGGGCTTCCCAATTTACTTCTTTCAATTTATTTTCAAAAGTAACGGCGTCACAGGTATAGATCAACGTAGGCAGTAAGCATTTTCATGTACTTAACTGAATTTAATATCGTAAAGAGTGAAGACGAATTGGAATTACAAAATTAAAAAGTCATCAAAAGAGTCAATAATGCAAATAACAATGTCTCTGCTTTTGATACGGGAAACAAAGTATGTTTGTTTGGTCTTGGGAAAATATACTCTTTGTTTTAATCTTTTCAAGTTATGTTCGTTTTTCTTTAGTACCCAATCGATAAAAACTCACATAAATGATCCGTACAACTCGACGATTTAAAAGGAAATTAAGAAAGCAAAAGGGCCATCATGAATAAGAGATAAACAGTAAATAATATAAACATAAGCCTAAAGAAAGATAATCTAAAGGAAGGTAGATTTCACTCATCAAGTTACTGGAACAATATCGTAAATGTAATAATGATTATCATGCAATGTTAACATGTGTATGGTAGTAGCAAAATTACCATTAAATTTCCGATAGAAAAATAACTTTAAACTAAAGATGTAATAATGATAATCGTGTTGTCTTTTTTTTTAAATTTCTTTTTCTATAGGCTCAACTTTGGCAGTGGCACATCGGCAACAGGAAAATATATATGGCTTTATGGGACTGTGACTTGAAAGGTCCCTAGTGGACAGCACTGCACAGAGACGAGCAGCAGCTGCCGATAAACTGAATTTGTAACCACCACACCACCTGACTCTGGTCTGATCAATTTTAACCAGGTGGCCAATGTATACTCGAGGATATGGTTGGGAGCTCGATAAAACACAGTGCACATCCCCAGAGGAAAAACCTCGTGGTCCCTCGGATATCCAAACAAGCCATAAAAACTACATCTTAATCCCCAGACTACCCTCCTCAGCCATATTTTCCCGCGTTATTAGTAACACAAAGTTAATTAGATCAGATCAGACGACGATGACCACCGTCATGATGAACACCATACCCCACTCTGACCTGGTAGGACCCACTTTTGCCTCCCCACCCCATTCCCTCAGCTCCTCTTCTCTTCAGTCTTCGGTCTTCACTTTAAAGAACCTATCTGTCCTCCATTACCCGCAAATCAATGCCCATAAAAATTCTAAAAAACTTTTATATTTATCCCTTTTTCTATATACCCTCAGGCCCCAAAGAGTAAAATTCAAAATATTATATTGTATTAACTTTTTTAAAATTAAATCTCTAAATTCCCTCTCTCTATATATATACACCCCTAGTCACCATTACAAACACTAGGGTACTACGCCTTCCAAATTTTTTCCACTCTCTTCAAATCCACTGGCCAAAAATGCACCGAGTTCCGGTGCTTCTCAGCCTTATTGCAGCTGCTGCACTGCTGATAGTAACTCCGGTTATCGGATATCGTCCATGGCCACACCTAAAACCCAACAGCTCTGATTTAATGTTCGGAGGTTCCAAGAAATTCGAGGGCTCATCAGAGTTCGTCCACATGAGATACCACATGGGGCCAGTCCTCACCGGCAATATCACCATCCACACAATCTGGTACGGCCGGTGGCAAAAATCTCAAAAGAAAATCATCCGCGAGTTCATCAACTCTATCTCGGCGGTTAATGCCAAGCATCCTTCGGTTACCGGGTGGTGGAAGACCGTACAGCTATACACGGACCAAACGGGAGCTAACATCTCCCGTACGGTGCATTTAGGGAAAGAGAAAAACGATCGGTTTTACTCGCACGGCAAGTCGCTCACGCGCTTATCTATACAGTCCGTGATAAAAGGCGCGGTAACAGCGAGTACGCAGCCATTGCCGATAAATCCCAAGAGTGGGCTCTACCTCTTGCTCACATCCGATGACGTGTACGTGCAGGATTTTTGCGGCCAAGTTTGTGGGTTCCACTATTTCACATTCCCATCCATCGTGGGGTATACGCTCCCATACGCATGGGTGGGGAACTCGGCGAAGCTTTGCCCGGGAATATGCGCTTACCCCTTCGCCGTGCCGGAGTACATGCCCGGGTTGAAGCCGTTAAAGTCACCGAACGATGACGTGGGGGTGGACGGGATGATAAGCGTGATCGGGCACGAGGTTGCTGAGCTGGCAACCAACCCGTTGGTGAACGCATGGTACGCCGGGCAAGACCCCGTGGCTCCCGTGGAAATAGCGGATTTATGCGAGGGCATTTACGGAACTGGGGGTGGAGGTTCCTACACGGGGCAGCTATTAAGCGATAAAGATGGTGCCACGTATAACATGAATGGGATCAGACGGAGGTACTTGGTTCAGTGGGTTTGGAACCACATTGTGAGTTACTGTACTGGGCCTAATGCGCTTGATCAGTGATTTTTATTTGAATATTTTTTGTCAAAAAATTTTGGGTTTTCTGTTTTTGGTTTTTGGCATTTTGTCTTGTCTCTGTTCTTTTTTATGTTCCTTGGGGTCTGGGTGTGTGGTGGCTGTTGATGCGTAATTAGTTAAGGTAGTTAAGTTTGTTAAATATGTACTATTTTTGTAATAATTATTCCTAATACTATTTTTGTATACCACTTCAATTCCCGTCTTCTTTTCAAATTGCCCCCTTGGATCAATTTTTCCTACATTTCTCCGAGAAAAGCTCAGTTATACCAACTAGAACCCAACATTTTTTATTGTTCCAACAACAACAGTAGTATCAAACTTTTTATTCTTTTTACCTTCGTTTTTGTCCAGCATACGGCCACTGCCCGACGATTATATATCTGTTTAATTTCAATGTACTTTTCCTCAAGCAAAGCAGAGGAAAGAAAAGATTATTACGATTTCAATTATCTCTATTCCAAACATAAAACTTTTTATCTTTGGTAAGGAAAATGAAAAAGATTTTGATTGCGTGATGGTAGGAAAATGTTGGGCAAGTGGTCTGATAATCAAGTTTTGAGAGGCAGGTGTTAAGCACAATTTCACAGGGACTTTGCTGTTTCTCCAGAATCTCGGCTGGGTGCAACTGTGTCTAAAATATCAACCAACTTCAGAAATCAGGACCCACCATTGTTATCTTTTTTCCCCTTTTTCTAAGGAACTCTTTTGGGATTTGCGCCGTGAGGCTTATGATGATGTACTCTTTAATTTTTTCGTTCAAAGTTTTTTGGCGGTATTATGATGAAGAAGTTTGAACGCCCTTTTTCAGTTACGGTCTTCCTTTCACAGAAGTAGCTTCTTTTTTTTCTTTGGGTAACGTACGGTTACTTGCATAAAGTTGCCGAGGGATTTCTTCGCTTCTTAATGTATTTCGCTTTGAGGTGCAATGGTTGGGTTTTCAGGTTGAAACGTATTGGACATAGATGAAAACCATAGCGAATCGATCAATTCATCAGACGTTTCTATCGTAAACTATCTTCTGTCTTTTCTTTTTTTTTTTTAAATACCCATTGTTACGTGCAACATCGAAAGCCTACCCATGGAAGTCCAAGGTGGGTTGACGTTCTAGTTTAATTTGAAAGGGGCCCCTTCTCCATCACTAGTAGTGTATTTTCAAGATTGAAACAAAGATATTTTAGGTAAAAACCAGCTGGATCTCATATCAAGTTTCAGTTTTAGAGGAAAGAAGACAAGAATTTTACCCACATTTCTTGAAATTTTGGAATCACTCAGAGAGTAGGTGAAGACTGGCTGAAAGTGGAAAAGTTGAGGATGGGGCAGCGGCGCATGAAAGCTTGAATCTTTTGACCTACGACAAACCCCTTATTGCAAATAAAATATGAGCCATGCCGATATGGCCTACAACCTTGTCTTCCTCTTCCTTAAACCTGTTTTGGTTAGGGGGAAAAAAAACAGATAAGAAATGAAGATTCTTTTTGGGTCCCATTAATCTTCTTTCTTAGGGTTAGCAGCTTGACTTTATCACTAAGCATGCAACTAAATCGCTATATAATCGCATTCAACATATTTCATGTACAGAAAAGGATAAAAAAAAAAAAACAAAAAGGAAAGAAAGAAAGAAGTATCTTCCAAATGACATCAACATAGTTAAAAAGAGTCACATGTTATAAACTCACAATTATCTAATTTTATACTATGTATGCGTGACATGCAACATGTTAAGATGACGTTTGTATATATTTAATATTTTGCATATGAAGGATCAAATCAAATGCCACTACCTTTCATCATCTTCCTTCAAGTGGTTGAATGAAACTGGTTTAAACAAACGTGTGAAAACCAATTCGAAAGCAAAGACAAAGTTACTCCTGAAAAAAACTAGCTTGCATTGCATCCTTTTTTTCACTTTATGGTCAATAACATGGTTCTACTACTTGATTTCTTCACCTTCTGTGGTGTGGCCTTAGGAGGATGTCGCGGACTGCTTTGGCTTTTTATTGATTTACCCTTTTGAAAATAAAACTCTTAAATACCGAAAAGAAGGAAGAAAAGAGAATGAAAAAGATTGGTAAAGGAGTTGGTGCAAATTGATTAGCATTGAAAGAGGAAGAGGAGCAATTATTAGAACATGGGGACCTCCAAGGTCTCAATGTCATCCCATTTTTCACACGACTTTGGTGAAGTGACGCAGTTAGCCGAACACTGAATCGGATTGGAGCAACTGAAACCAACCGGTACGCGCTGATCTAATCATTTGGTGGTCCAAAAAACAGATGATCTTGAGATGCTCTTTGTGGGACAAACAACAAGCAGCATGACCTTTGGGGAATTCAGATAGTTTTCAACATCTTAAGTTGACTAGGTTCGAATGACAAGTTACCTGATCTGATCTCCCGCCGGTCTCTCGGGTGAAAGAACAACACTTGTTAGTAGTTTCTGCAATAAATTTCAGTTTCATCATGCCTAGCCAAATACTCATATATCATATCATATCATTTTGTAGCTTTATTTAGTAGCATGCATAACGATTCTAAATCATATGTAATCACATCCTTTGCATTCACAATCTGATAAAGTAATACTTCAAAGCATCAGCTATCCATTTAAGAGGTTCATCGGCCACCTCGCAACCGTCTTACCAAACTTAGTGGAGACATTGATCTTTTATTGTGCGTCTCTGTTGCTTGTAGAGTCATCCATCCTTTAATGCCCCATATGCATCCATCTGACCAAATTTTCTCCCGTCAGTTTTGGTTGATGCATTTTCTCACCCCTGACAGAATGCACCTGCACAAACACAAGTCATTACGTACAACTGAGCCCACATCCATTTCTCCACCATTTTTGACTGTGTAAAAGGACACTTGCAAATTGAGAAGCTAAAATCTATCGCTGATGAGGTAGAAAAGTACCAGCACTTCAATGATTTTCTTCTTCCCCTTTTCCTTGGATGGGGTATTTAAACGTATGGCTATGAAGAAGGCCATATACGGACAGAAAATACATCAATGTACCTATAAACAGTTATTATAGCCATTCGCCTTCTACCCTGTTCCCTCATGACTATGCCTGCAACTCTTGCAATAGCATCTCTTCCAGGTAGAGAACATATAAAGAAGCTTCTAACATCTGGTTGTATTGCTAACTCGATGTTTGTTGTGAACCATTGCTTTAGATAAGCCTGAATGCAACAATATATGGAACTTCCTAATATTGAAACCATCCTTTCCAAAGCATGGAAAATCAATGGTGGAAGTTCTTTTTTCTTTTTTTTAGGTGAAGCAATGGTGAAAGTTCTTTACTCAATTGTGTCCCCATGATAGTAAAGAGAGGCTATTATGTAATATTGCTCATTATATGCTGGAGAAAGTTTTCCTTCTCTATTTCAGCTAGATCACTGACTAGCAAAAATCAAGCAGCATGTTTGTGAGAGTAATTCTAGTCAGAAGAGAGCATAAACAGATAAGAGTGTGAGGCGACAGCTCAGAGAGATAATACATCAATAAAAGAGCAGGGGCTGCTCATTAACCAATATTAATATCTTACCAGAACAAAGAAAATGATCATAAATTTTGCTTCTAATATACAACTGCTCCATCACGTGTCATGGCTGATGATTATCACTGAGCAAAGTCCACCAAAATAAAAGGTAGGCTCAATCAATTGAATGCCTTATGCTACAGTTTAACCCATATATTTTATTACTTCCAGAGCTTTACAACAACTTTGTAGATATTAGGAGGTTGCTGAGCATCTTCATAGCTGCAGGGCAATTGCACAAAGGAGGTAGAGACTCCATGCTAAGATAAGAATAACGGCCATGCCTGTTTAGTAAAATATCCATTTTGCTTTTTGATTATTATGTGCTATTTACGGATTGTAATTAAAAAAGAAAACAGTGATTGTTCAACATCATTAAGGAGTAGCTGAAGCTTTGAGCTAGGATCAACAAAACCGGTCAAGGATAAAAAAAGGGGGGCAGTCAATATTAATAGAAGAGAAAAGAAGAGAACTTGCAGAAAGAGTTGGGAAACTAATGCTCCAATTGATGAAGGAATTAGGATAGAAAGTGAAAGTCAAAATAAGCAACAGAGGAATCAGAACATCCTTCTTATGCAGCCAGGACCAAATGAGACTTAAAATATATCCACTAAATTTGAGTTTTGCACCAGCATGTGGAGTTCAATCATGATGAGACCTAATCAAACAACTGGTAGACAGTCCATAAGTTAACTCCTCAAGAACAATGAGTAATTTTAATGATTCCAGGCTTTTAAGTGGTACACTAGAAGAGAAGAGGGGCATTTGCATATTCAAGAATGGATGTCTGTCAGAAGAGATATAATACAGAGTATTAAAACTCTTCCACCCAAGGGCTTCACTTTTTTGGTTCAACTGTAATAAGTTTTACAATCATAACTTTTTCTTTCTTAAAGGAATCTAAGATATTGGAACAGAAAATAAATAAATATATCTCATGGACTCCAGCTATGTATATTAATGCAATTACTTCCTATTTAGTTAGCCTCTCTGTCTACCTTTAAAATTTCTGGTACAAAGTAAAACTACTTATTAGCTCATTTCCAAATTGAAGGCTAGCAATTCTATCATTTAATCATGTATTGCATATGATGTGACCTACCAGGCTACCATCAGGAGATTTAGGCCTTTCCCGGAAACAAGGCATGAGCTTTTATGTGATCAATCCAAGGTGACCTTCGTGCAATTAGACAAAGCTGTAGTTGGAAGACCAATTAAAACTTATCAGTCACACATTATCGATATTTACAATTACCCAAGAGAAGCAAATAGTGACTAAAGCCATAGTTAGATGAACAACATTATTAATAAAATTGATGTTTTAAAATAACCATTAAAACTACTCTTACTAATTCTTCGACAAAATGAAGAAAAGAAAATTTCAGCAAAACATTAGTCAACCACCAATTTTGATCCAATAGCTGCAACATGACATAAATAAATAACAACACTTCATTACACAGGCATAGAGAGAGAGAGAGATGTAGACATAGTTATCGGCTTATAGCTCCTTAAACAAATAAAGCAATCCCGGAAAGAAGATGGTCGTTTCTCATTGCAAAGTAAATTATGCAAAGTCAAACAGTATAGAAATTATATTTATAAGAATTAACCAATGAGGGAAATACATGCTTCATGCAACATCATTGAAGTGACGTGACCTTATCAACCAAAAAATACAGTGATATGAATAGGTGAATTGTTGATCCTTATTAATGTTGATGACAACAAAATTATATAAATTCCATAAAGCATGATAGCAAAATCAAGCACTGTGAAATTTAGTGCTTTGCCTCATGTGAATAATTTCGAAACATTAAAAAAAATGTACATAGTTCTAGATGATCGACAACTAAGCTGCTTGGTTTTTTCACGATATTGATGCACACGACCTTTTTCATCCAATCTCTCTTTGGATTCCATACTCTTTTTCCTAAGACATGGTGGATCCAGCACAACTACAAGAACACTAAAGGCCCATATGGTTGCACAGGGCAGTGTGGTGGGGGGAGGCGGGGTTCCTCACTGCACTGACCTCCTGATTTTTCATGGGGCCTACTAGTGCCCGATGTTAGCAAACGGGCTCAAAATCTCAGGGGTTACCTTGAAGAAAAGTAAAAACTAAAAAGTCTAACTTTCCATGTGTCATATTCAGATGCTGAAAATGCTGTAGCTTTATAATCTAGATGAGGTGGACACTTCTTCCAGATTTTCCAGGCCAGAGATCTCACATTCATCAACTGCATTGGCCCTTATGTATACACCTGAAGACAATTGCTCTTTCACAGAAAGGAAAAAGAAAAACTATGGAACCAACAAATAGAATACCTTACGAACAACTCAGGCTAAGCCTAGCGGTTGTTACCTTCCTTAGGAGTTTTGAGATCCAAGGATTGAATCTCCGCTCCCCCTTTGTGTTTGTCCTAAGTACCAAAAAAGAAGTAAAAAGAATACCTCATGATTGTAACTCTGACAAGCAGAGCATATATAGTAAACTTCCATGCATCGTTGCCAGCAAGTACATGTATAGGAACTCAACATCCCATTGAACTCCATTGGATGAAACACTGAAAACAACGGACTTTAGAATTTGAAGAGTCAGTCCAGTATCATTGCTCCAAACAAAAGCAAGCAGTTATAAATCCTATTTGTCAAATTGTAATGTAAACATAAATGCCTTGTAAATTGTGTTTTCAGGTAAAAAGGGTAACAAATAACTCTGCTTCGCTTTCAAAGAATTCAGACTTAACAGAATCAAAACAGTTCATATATTGAGATACACAATTTTGAGCAGCTGCTTCAGTGGCCAATCATAAAGCCGCTGATCACTGATAAGGATGGTTGACATTCCTTGCAGGAAAATTCCTTTGTTGTGCTCTTTAATACAATTCTCTTAACAAGGAAAGCACTAGAACTGAAAGTACAGCTTACGGAAATGTACAAATGCTCACTTGCTTTTCATGACAGCAGTCTGCTCTTACAATTTGGAAATATCAGATAATTGGAATGATGTATCTAATTTTGGTCCTTAAGATTCTCATTTTGCAGATACTTCAGCACTCCATATGCAACAGTTCCAGCAAGAAACAAGAGAACAGTTGGGGTGAAAGATGGGTACAAGTAATTCACAAAGAACTTATCCCACTCTTCTGGTAGGAAGCCTGTAAATGTAAAACGGTAACAAGTTATTTGGGATTACAACTCATAGCTCATAGCTTCAAAATGTCAACATAAATCATTTTCATACTTTGACATGTCCAACTTCATAGAAATGAAATCATGTAGAAATCAGTATACATTTGACTCTTGGTATCAAGAAACATGATATATAGCAGTCTCAAAGGTTTAATCCAATCTCAAATGTGCTTAATTTTACCACAATAATCTTTGCAATTGTTCTAATAATCCGACAAAATTACTAAATGTATCTTTCTTGATGTCCAAAGCTTCTTAAACAGAAAGTATTCTTTCTGCTAAAATGTTCAACTTCAATCTCATTTTACCTATAATCAGGTTGAAATGTCAAATCCAAATGTATACCAAAGTGAAACCCTCCACTACACAACTTTAACCGAACAGCATAAAGAACAATACTTAATTCTAGACATACCTGAAGCAGCAAGAACAATGCCTTGCACAAGTATGACCCCACCAAGCCCTAACCACGCCAGTAAAAAGGCACTCTCATTTTTTCTCTGTTCGTCAGCTTGAGCCTCTTCTTCTTTGCTCACAAACGCAGGTTTCTCAACCGGCGACCGCCTTATTATCGAAGCCCTCTCTCTTTTTCCCTTCTGCTTCTTCTTTCCGCTGCTTATGCTTGACTTGCCTGAGGGTGACGATGAAGAAGAGGAAGGAGAGGAGGAGCCAAACCCTTGGCCCGGAGCGGCGGGCTTCTTGGGCGTGGAGCTGGGCTCAGGAGTGGGGTCGGCGTCAACGGTAGGCTTCTGGGATTTGATCGAAAATCTAGGTTTTGGGAAGATGAAGTTGCGATGATAGAGACCGTTAGTGAAGGAAGATGGAGTGTGGATTTGTAGCGCCATTTTCAGTTTAGTTGGTTAAACTGATGTCCTTCGGTTTGCGCTGCACCTCTAGTCTTTCTGGATTTTTTGTTATATCTCTTGTCTCTCCCCTCATATTCTAGTATTTATGCTTCTGCCCCTTTTATTTTCATTTTTTCTCCTCAAAAACTGATTGCTCGGATAAGCACTTTCCTATTTCTATTCTACAACATTCTTCACCTGCAATGCAATATTTAAAATTATTTTATTTTCCTTTATTAAAATTAATATAAATAATTACGGATTTATTATCAATAAAAATTAGAAATTATTATAATAGATACATATATTTTTTATTCAAAGAACTGAATTTGAATGTTTATTTTTTAAAATAAAAAATATTTTAATAATTCATTAAAATAAGAAAACTATTTGAATACTAGTAAATAAATCAAAATTTTACCTAGGTAACTCAGGAATAATTAATAATTGTTTTGAATTTCAAAAATTAATAATTTGATAATTAACAAATTATAAATTTATAATATTATATAGAAATATTTTTTTTCATAATAATACTATAAAAATATTTTCCTTACAATTTCTTTTACTGTAATTTTATAATTATTCAATTATAATAAAAATCATAAAACTAACATACCGATAAATAAATATGTCTAAAATAAGTTATGACGGTTTTTTCTGTAATTACAAAAAGAGTTAAAAATTAAAGTTCCAGCCTAGCCGCCTACGCACCAAAGGCGGAGAATTTACCACGCGCCCGTTAGCAATAGAGGCAGTAAAGCGAGTTGTCCAGTTCTCAGTTTTAGATTCTTACTTGGACCAATTGTTTGACTCTTTTTGTTTTGTTCCCTTCATCTCCTCTCCACAAAAATTGTCTCAAACATTTTTCGGCCACAACAATCTCCCCATGTTTCTTTTGAACCAATCCATGCCAAACCCTACCTCCTCCTCCTCATCCTAACCTCATCACTTCTCTCCTCTCTCCCTCTCTCCCCTTTTCCTCCTTTTCTTTCAATATCTCTGCTGACTTTAATGGACAGCATCACCTTCACTCATCACTTCCCCTCATGGCTCTCCTCGCTTTCCCCGCTCTCTCCCTCTCCCTTGCCCGCCTTTTCACTTCTTCTCTCCTCGCCCAACCCCGCGCCCGTCCTTCATTTGCTCGCTCTCTGTGTGGAGCCGGACGGACCAAGAGCGGCTCCGCCATTCTCTGGTTCAAACACGATCTCCGCCTCGACGATCACCCCGCACTCGTCGCTGCCGCTGAAACGCACCGTTCTCTGCTCCCTCTCTACGTCTTCGATCGCCGCATTCTCTCTCGTCAGTCCTTCCTTCACTCGTCAAGTTTTAGCTGTTTTTAACTTCCTCATAAATATCCATTTTTTTTCGAATTTTTTTAATTTCGAAATTATTTTGTCACTCAGGTTATTCTGATGAAATGCTGGAACTAGTTCTCTTCGCTTTGGAAGATTTGAGAAATTCTTTGAAGGAACAAGGCTCTAATTTGATGATTCGATTTGGGAGTGCTGAAAATGTCATTGCAGAGCTTGTAAAAGAGGTTATTTTCTATGTCATATTTTTTCAATATGAGACCGAAAAATGAATTCAAGCCTTTTTGACTATTTTTGTTAAATTTTTCGCTGCGAATTGGAACAGGTGAAAGCTACGGATGTGTTCGTTGAAGAGGAGGTAGAGTATGAAATGCGCCAGATGATTGGAGTTGTCAAGGATACATTGGAAACGTCGTCGTCTTTTGATGGGAATTCGGGCATTGTCATGTGGAGCACTCCATTCTATGATGTTAAGGTGGTCATGCTTGCTTATTCTGTTTGTTTGAATTTTTCTTACAGAACGAGTTTTTTCTTTTTCTTTTTTTTTTTTGTCCTGTTCCTAACGTTTTCATTGTGTACTATAATGTGCTGTGTAGAATCTGAAGGACCTGCCTGCATCATATAATGAGTTTAAAAAACTGAAGTTACTACCAATCTTACCTCTTCCTCCAGTAACATTACCTAATGTAGAAACCAAATTGGATTGGGGTAAGTTTCTGGTGGTAATGGGAAAATGCTATTTATGCTTAAAAGATTTTTTGTACACATTGTGATTACTCCTATGGAGCCTCAAGCTATAACTGAAATATGAATCAGGTCCTCTGCCTAGGTTTAGTGATCTTAAGGAATTTATCAAAGAGAAACCAGGCAAAGGGAGTTGGAATTTGATGAAGGAGATGCCAGCTGAAGCCATACTGAAGGAGAAATTATCAAAACCATCAGGAACCAACAGAAACAGTTTGAGTGTCCAAAGCATTGAACGAAGAAGACTAGATACATCTGTTCTTGTTACTCGAAAAGGTGATGTTGTGGGAGGTGGGACAAACTCGTTGCTGAATGCATTGGCTGCATACTTGAGATATTTGGAGGGAACAGCTCGAGATGACTGGCAAGAGTATGTGGGGAATTTATACCACCTAATTCATTTAACTTGTGCTTAAAAAATTTGTGAGGATGTTCAGGTTTGTTTGTGTTGGTTTTGGCCATTTGGGTTATTGCAAAATGAATTTGTCTTAACACCTGTGCTTTTCTAGTATACAATGTCAGTTTGTATTTTATCAGAATGACTAGGGAAGAATGTTATTTGAAGAATGATGCAGACAAGCTCATATTACCTACATGTTTTAATTAGCTAAATCTTGTTTGAATTGATTTTGTTGTAGGGTACATGAAAGGCTACGCAATGCTGAAAGTAGGGACGGAGCCTCTTTTACTTCACTTTTTGGCCCTGCTCTTTGTCTTGGTATCATATCTAGAAGGAGAGTGCATTATGAAGCTATCACATATGAGAAAGAACGAAATGCTGGATTTCTATCTCCATTTGGATATTCTGCGGCCACTGTTGCTGCAGCAGCTGATGCTGTATGCTCCATGGAGGTAATTGCTGCTTTACGTCAGTATTTGTACAAATAAAAATGCTTAGTTGGTGATTCTTCTGGATGATTTTGTTTTTTGTATGATGTTCATTGAAGGAATTTTTCTCCTTAGGTTTTGATAGACATTTTTTAGTGCAAGGCCTTCTAAATCATTATAGTTGATTTTGGTGGCAGTGGTTTTGGCTTTTGGCTCTAAAAAGTCAACTAAGTAATGAAGGACTATACTCTGTACGGATTTGGAGATGGCGTGGCCATCTGATTCAGGTTTGCTATTGACAACTAATTCATACATTTGATTTAAGCAGTGTAGTTTATTTTGCGATTATAACTTCTGTTGGGATAAGAGATTTTATGCATTCTTGATATACTTAAGTACTTTACTGTGTGTAGGTTATAGATTTCTTTTACTTACCATTAAGAACCAACCTATTTTCCAGTATACAGTAGTTGGCAATGAAGGTCCTGCTACTTTTCTTGTACATGGTTTTGGTGCTTTTCTTGAGCACTACCGTGACAACATAAATGGCATAGCTGAAAGTGGAAACCGTGTCTGGGCCATCACGATATTAGGATTTGGCAAATCAGAAAAGCCCAATGTCGTGTATACTGAACTGCTGTGGGCTGAACTGCTGAGAGATTTTATCATAGAAGTTGTGGGTGAGCCAGTGCATGTAGTAGGGAACTCAATTGGTGGTATGTTACCACATTGTACCTTTCTTAAATTGCCCACTACGATCTCTTCCTCTCTAGCAGAAAGTAGCTTATCTGTTTGACTCCACAATTTGTTATTTCTTTTCATTAGTGATTTGCTTATTCAGTTATATTTCCAGGTTTTTTGGTCGCTATTGTTGCTAGTCTTTGGCCTACTTTGGTCGAGTCTATCATCCTTATCAACAGTGCTGGTGATGTTATTCCTGGATTTTCTTCTCAGCGGTTTTCTAGTGTAAGTCCATCCAAATATTACACAAGTTTTCTGATCTTAATTTGTATCTAACCAGTTTTTATGAATTATGACATTTGTGCTTTTTGTTTGTCGAAGCTACCTATTTTGTCAGTATTGCTGAGAAATTGTGCTCATCTACTTTCAACTTGATTATTATTTGGCAATTTTTTTTTGTCTCTCATGTTTATTCCTATGCTTACCATGTTCAGTGAAAGCTGAAAAAGGGTGTTAGAACCCAAGTTTGGATTGACTCTTTCAGTTTTGAGAAATAGCCTAGTATCAAGCAATAGTCTAACTAACATCTCCAGCATTTGATGTTCGATATAACTGTTATAGGAAAGGGGAACCTCAGGCGCTGCTGCAAGGCTGGGTGCTCAACTTCTTTTATTCTATTTGAAGTTGAATATCAGGAACGTAGTTAAAAATTTCTACCCCACTGTAAGGGTTTTTCCATTGCTGCTTCCTACTTTCTTATTTGCTCTTCTGTTTGCATGTTGCCTGACTTAGTTGTGTGGCCTTTGACCTTTTTGCAGAAAACTAAGCGAGCTGATAATTGGCTTATTAATGAAATGCTGAGAGCAGTATCCTCTTTGTTATTTGAAATGTATGAGCACGCATGCACACACATACACAGAGACTTGTGCACACACTCCAGAAACCACAAAATGTTGTTTAGTGGAAGTATGATCAAATATCTTTGCCCCCTAAAAAAGACAGAGCTTTAACATACTTAAGTCCTATGATCCTGGTGTGCTAGTGGTCCTGGAAAGTATTTTCAGCTTTGACCTCTCAATCCCTTTGAACTTCCTCTTGCAAGGATATGAGGAAAAGGTTCTAATTGTGCAGGTAAATTCCCTCTATACAGCAAAGAAGTTATTATTCTCTCTCTATGGCTTGTGGTCTGGTTTTCTATTAGATTTGGTTGCTTATGAGCATTTCAATTCTTGTTAGGGAATGAAAGACCCGCTCTCAGACTCCAAGGCCAAACTAGCCATGCTTAAAGAGCATTGTGCCGGGCTTGTAATAAGGGAATTGGATGCTGGTAATAAGCTCTTTTAGTCCCCCAAAATACTGCTGCCCACTCTCCCCTCCCCCATTCCCCCAAATTGTTAAGTCTTCCCTTTTGATTGTTCTCCATTTTTTTTGTAACATTTCAGGCCATTGTCCCCATGATGAGCAGCCAGAAAAAGTGAACTCCATCATCTGCGAATGGATAGTAGCCGTTGAAA